CCGTGTTAAACAGATGAAAGAGAACCACTTCTCTCTAGATGAAATTATCATAGGTATATGATTGGAGCAGCATTCTTTAGCTGATCAATATAGACAGTACAAATGTTGGACCATTTTAATGGTAATTTCATCAACAATATGTAGATTAAGTCATCTACATACAAGCAGATAATCAGAATTTTTTTTCCTTTAGACTTTGTAAAGAATGTGTGCTCATAAGGACATTTTCTAAAACCTTCCTTCAGAAAATAAGATTCAATCCTACTATACCAAGCCCTCGGGGCTTGTTTTAGCCCATACAACGCCCTTTTTTAACTTGTAAACTTTATGTTCATTACCGGGAATAATATAACCAGAAGGTTGATCAATATATACCTCTTCATCCAAGTTTCCATGCAGAAACAAACTTGACATCAAGTTGGAAGATAAGCCATGAGTGTTGTGCTGCCAACGAGATCATCAATCTAACAGTATCATGCCTTGCTACTGGAGCAAACACTTCTTGATAATCAACACCAAACTCCTGCTTGTATCCCTTCGCAACTAGGCGTGCCTTGTACTTGTCAACTTCTCCATTTTCTCTTAGTTTGGTTTTGTACACCCATTTCACACCTATAGTCTTCTTTCCTTTTGGGAGCTCAACCAACTCCAAAGTATTATTTCTTTCAATGGCAGAAATCTCTTCATCCACTGCTTTTCTACATTTTTCATGTGCAACAGCATCATCAAACATTACAGGATCACAATATGAAAATAAAGCAAAATATGTAAGCTCATCATCAGATTGATCAACCCTAGGGACTTCATAATCAATCATCCAGGAAGGCCTCTTTCTGTTACGTTGAGGGCGATCATCATTTGTTTCATGCGTAGAGGATGTGATATTTTCTAATTCAGTTATGCCTTGATTTGGTACTGGTTGCACCGTTTCAGCTTCTTCTTTTTCCTCCTCATCACCCAAGCCTACTAGAACTTGCTGTTGACCACGTTTGCCTTCATTCCAGTTCCAGAACTTCCCTTCATCAAAGACCACATCTCGACTTATCACTATTTTCTTGGTGTTTGGGTTGTAAAGCTTGAAGGCTTTTGTGTGACTACTAACACCAAGAAATATGCACTTTTCTCCTTTGTCATCTAACTTTTTCCTTTTCTCATCTGGAACATGTGCAAATGCAATGCATCCAAATATTCTAAAGTGATTAACTGATGGCTTTCTTTCATTCCACGCTTGTTCTGGTGTCACATTTTGAGCAACAAACGTTGGGCTTCTATTCAAAATGTGTATACTCCAATTAACTGCTTCAGGCCAAAAGCTTTTAGGAACACCACTCCTTGTAAAAAGACTTCTCACCACGTTTAGGATAGTACGATTCTTCCTCTCACTAACCCCATTCTGTTGAGGTGTATAAGTTGCTGTTAACTGTTTTTTAATGCCATGTGACTCACAAAAATTTTCAAATTCATGTGAGCAGTACTCTCCTCCACGGTCCCTACGCAACACTTTAATTACATTACCATTCTCTTTCTCTACAAGCGCTTTAAAGCTCTTAAATGCTGCAAAAGCTTCAGATTTAACTTGCAAGAAATAAACCCAGGTTTTTCTACTGTAATCATCAATAAATGTTATGAAGTACCTTTTCCCTCCATTGGATGTTGGGTTTATTGGCCCACAGATGTCAGAATGAACAATATCAAGTGGCTTTTTGGCTCTTTGAGAAACACCTTTTTGAAAAGGAACTCTGTGTTATTGCTAATAACAAAATCTTCACAAATATTTTAAGGACTATCAAAATTTGGAAGACCTTTTACTATATTCTTCTTTTGAAGTGTCTTTAACCCACCAAAATTCAGATGACCATAAAGCCAAGCCACATCATTTACTATTGCTGAGAAACAATGAGTGTTCATACCTTTGAGATTTAAAGGGAACAACCTGTTTGGAGTCATTTTTGCTTCTACAATCACCTCCAAGTTTTTGCTTTGAATTCTGCATGCTCCATCCTCGATAATGATTTCATAACCTCTTTCTTGTAATTGCCCCATGCTCAACAGATTAGTCTTCAATTCAGGAACATAAAGGACATCTGAAATTTTAAAATTACCTCCAGGTGTCCTTTACCCATCACGGCCACATGAGAATTATTTTCAAACTTCACAGCATCACGATAGGTCTCATCCAAAGTTGAGAAAAGTGACTTTTCTCCACACATGTGATTGTTGCAACCGGTATCAAGATACCATAAATACTTCTTGGTAATGTCCACCTTCGTATCTGTCATTAACAATAGAGCAATCTCTTCCTCTTGTTTCATCTCAGCAAAATTTGAATTTTCTCCTTTGTTATTGGGCATATAAGTTCGACATTCATATTTGTAATGCCCGAACTTATGGCACCTATAACATTCTATATTAGATTTGTCTCAATGATTGGTTGATTGAGACCTCCCACGACATCGTCCTCTTCCTTGAGTGTTAGAATTCTGCCATTCTTGATTCTAATAGGGAGAATTTCCCCTACCTCGTGCAACACTAAACTCGTATGCAATAGGATGCTATAGGATAAGTATAATTATAAACTCGTTTGTAAATAAAATACTTTTCTGTGGAGGTTTCTTAGAGTCACAATGACTCTCTTTCTTAGAGTCGCAATGATTCGCTTTCTTAGAGTCATAATGACTCGCTTTCTTTACTAATGGATGAGGTAGGAACTTCACCGTAGTGTGAATGAACCTATCCCGGTACGGCGCTTAGCCGACCTATGCTCAATCTCATCTACTGAACCACTCTCTTGGTTCTAAACTCATCTCTGTGGAATCAGGTATCGAACTTTTAGTGTGCACACTCCCTGACTAGGATTCCAAGCCTGGCGGGCAGTTTCCAACCTTGTAACGTGGGAATACGCCGCGTTACATATACATGGACCGCAATGTCCATTTTTTTCTTCCCGAGAGGATGTAGTCCAAACGGGTCCTCCAAAACAAGATTTTCCTCACCATAGATATAGATAGATATATCACTCATGCATCTCATATATGCAACATTTAACTTATGCAAAAAGAAATGCACATACTTCTCAACTCATTCTCAAAAGACAAGATAAAGATGCTCTACATGGAAATGAGATTTTTGGAAAATAATACTTAGGCTCACGTTGGCCACTTATGCACTTTTAAAACATGATATGCTCAAAATGACATTTACTGTAACCATATGCTTCTACTTTCTATTCGCTGTGAAACTCTCAACAATTCAATAAGTCATGCTTGTTGCAAAATAACATACTCTGTACATTTCTACCATCAAAATAGGTTTCAATTTCCATTGAACATACAACACATTCTAGTCATGCTTTTCTAACAACTTTTATTCACAAAGTGTTTATGCTTCTCTATTCAAGTACTCAAATAACATCAGGAAGGTAAATGCAAGCAAATCCCAAAAGCAGTGAACTCAGATAAACATTTCTGTGAAGCATTTCATCACAAATTCTTCTATAACATGCTCATTTCTAATCCAAATTCAACGAAATCAAAGTCAAAACGTGCGTCAAGACGGCCCCGAGGTACCGAGCCGCAAGGGCCCATGACACCTAGTCCGAAACGACACGTAGCTGAGCCGCAAGGGCCCGACCACTGCACAGAGAACAACTCACGGACCTTGGGGCGGAGCTCAGCTAGGCTCGCCCCCTAGAACCGCCAATTTGCCGACTCTAGGCAACGACCCTCTCCTAGGGCTGTTCCCTAGGCCCGGCTGGCCACTGTTCTAGCCAACGATCCCCTTGTTGGGCCGTTGGCTGGGGCCGGTGCTTCTACTGGTGCACACTGTGCACCAGATGATTTCTTCTCATCTGCAATACAATCTCAGGCAATTCTAGCACATCCAAAACATCAACAACACATCATAGACAAGTAATAGATCACTTAATAGCTCAAGCACTTCAAAAATCTAGCATTTCTACTCATTTCTACCTATGAAACAATGGCTTCACAGAGCCAAAACTTAAGAAGGGAGTCCATGGGGTTATACCTTTGTTGTTTCTTCCTCTTGTGTGGATCCCTTCTTCCTCTATACTCAATCACTACCTCCTTCATCACCTAAACACCTCAGACAAGCAACACAACAACACTTACAAGGCTTAAGAAAAGATCTCAGAGGTTGAAAGCTAGGATGAAAGCTTAGAAAGAAATGAAATGAATGGAGGAGAAGGAAGCTAGAAACCTTACTGTGATTTATATTTCTTCTTCTACAAAGAGCTTGGATAGGCAAAGAAATGGGATCAGGAGACAACAATAGAATAGTGAAGTTTATATAGGGTGCTAAACCCTAGGTTGATGCTCAATGATTGGTGGAGGGCAAGATGGTAAATTGTTGGTTGTTCTAAAAATATCAGACAAGTGAGATATGGCTTTTAGTGGTTCACCAAGCTTCATGGACCAAGGTCTAGAATCATAGTTTTAAATAGTTTGGGGGGTCAAAATAGATTTTTCCAAAAATGATTTCTATATAAACACTTGGTTCAGGTTTCTCAGATTTCTCCCGGTCTCACTCAGATAGGTTTCTCAGTTTAAAACTTGGTTCGCGAAGTAACCGAAAATTTTGGATTTTGGAATTAAAATAAGTTCCGGTGTTGAATTAATTTAAAATGTAACTCAAAATAATTTATTCAAACACCAAATTTATCTCAAAAATTTTAACGGGGTGAAAATGACTATTTTGGAATTTCTTAAAATTGGATTTATAAAATTAAAATTTTAGGTTGTCACACCTCCTTCGTATCTGTCATTAACAATATAGCAATCTCTTCCTCTTGTTCCATCTCAGCAAAATTGGAATTTTCTCCTTTGTTATTGGGAATATAAGTTCGACATTCATATTTGTAATGCCCGAACTTATGGCACCTATAACATTCTATATTAGATTTGTCTCTATGATTGGTTGATTGAGACCTCCAACGACCTCGTCCTCGTCCTCGTCCTCTTCCTTTGAGTGTTAGAATTCTGTCATTCTTGATTCTGATAGGGAGAATTTCCCCTACCTTGACCTCGACCACGACCACGACCACGATCTCGATTTGAGGCTCCATCAGTTGTGGCTTTCAAAGCTTGTTCACCTTCATTTGTGTGTTTGATAAACTTCTTCTCATGAACCCGTAATGAACTTTCTAGTTCATCTAGAGTTATCTCATCAAGGTCATTTGCCTCCTCTATTGCACAGACAACAAAATCATATTTTGATGTCATAGAGCGCAAAATTTTCTCCACAACAGTGACATCTGCAGTTTTATCACCATTGATCCTCAATTGATTGACTATCGTCATTACTCTTCCCATGTAATCTGAAGCCGACTCTCTTTCTTTCATTCTGAGTGTTTCAAATTCAGAACAAAGACTTTGAAGTTGTTGTCTTTTCGCCTTTGTTGAACCTTGATACTTTGTTTTCATTGAGTCCCAAATATGCTTGGAGGTTTCTTTGCAAAGAATTGTCTCCAAAATTGATATGTCAATTGCCTGGAACAGATAATTTTTGGCTTTAAGATCCTTAAACTTCAACTCCTTCACCTCAGTTCTTTGTTCTGGTGTCATCCCGCTGTGGGTTCTTCTACGACAGTTTCCACCACGTCCCAAAACTCTTTGGACTTGAGAAAATTTTCCATTAGCATGCTCCAATGGTTATAATGACCATCGAAGCGTGGTATGGCAGGTTGCACAAATCCATCAGAGGCCATTGATCACCTGCTGCAGTTGTGAGTAAATTTGACTTTGATACCAAATGTTGAAAACTGATTTAGGAAGAACAAGGAAGTCTTTCAAGTATTTTCTCAAACACTTAGTGAGCAGTAATAATATTCTAATTGAGGAAGACAATCTGTGTATGTTATTCACTGACCAAAGCCTTTAAATAGGCTATAATACAATATCATAAACAACCTGCATATCTTACTAGAAAATAGGATCAAAATAGAATCACTAAAGAATATAAACTAATTTATGACTAGTTCAGAATATAGAAAAAACTATAAAGAAACAGGGAAATATTCTAACGTACCGGCCTCCAACTAAACCACCCATTACAATAGCATGTAAAATGGCTAGGTAATATTTGATGTTGATGTTAAGAATCAAATGATAGTGATGAATAAGAGTCTAATTGAGCAGGCCCCCAACACATATGAATGTCAATCTCATTCCTTGAGTTGTGATAACATATTATTTCTATTTCTTAATTGTTAATTAGCTTTTAGAAATACGAAGTATTAATTAATAACTAATTAAGAAATACATAACCTTCTTCTTCTCCCAAAGAAATACATAACCTAACATGATTAGTTGATTGCTAATCCTTTTCCCCCACCTTCAAAGATGAAGTCCCTTACCCCGGGCTCCTACATTTCGATTCGACAAAATTATAGAGGTATAGGATCAGTGTTTGATATCCACAATATAATGAACTCACCATATTAGGTGAAATTTCTATATTCTGACTGTTAGAGCTTAACCCTGAGTTTTCAAGACTCAATTTACTATCCGAGTATCAACTGAGCTGCATGTGTAATAGATGGATAATCATTTTCCTTTTCAAGGCTAAATGAGTAAATAGTAGCAATAATAATAATACATGTACTCCCTCTGTCACATTTTATCTGTCTCACTTACTATTCATTGGTCAAACCAACTTTTTATTCTATGTTTATTTTCTTTAGTATTTTCACTTATTTTTAAATTTTATTTTTTGTGTTTAACCTGTCTCACTTACTATTCATTGGTCAAACCAACTTTTTATTCTATGTTTATTTTCTTTAGTATTTTTTACTTATTTTTAAATTTGATTTTTTTTGTGTTTAACCGTATTTTTAGTGTAGTTTCTGTTGGAGATAATGAACCACAATCGATTTAATATCCGTAAAATAATATTTATATATATATACACACGAAATATATATAAAATATTATTGGATATATATCCGAAATATATATATACACACAAATATATATAAAACGGACCCAACGGTTATATATACATGTATATCTACGAAAAAGATATACCAATATATATCAACCAAAAAGAAAATATAATCCTTAGATTATAATTCCAAAACAACAAGAAAGAACGGATTTTTGCTTAGAGCATAATCCAAAACAAGAAAGAAGAAGAAAGAAAGAAATGTACGAGTTAGGCGAGTGCCTTTCTTTCCTTAAAACCTTATTTGCCACCTCCCAAAAGTGCTAGGAGCGTTGTGGCCTAGGTTTCCCAGGATAAAACGTACAACGGTTCGACGTTTGAGCACCCAAACGAACGAACCCGGCGAACAAGAGCACAGCTTCAAGAATGGAGTAGAAGCAGAAGTATTTTGAGGCTTGGAAAAATTATTTTTCTTATGTGTTGTTGTTACTTTTTTCCTTCGAAAAATTCTGCTGCACTCTACCCCTTCTTATATAGGGAATGAGGAGTCAATAGCCTTTATTATGGCATTTAAGGGCACCCTACAACTTCTTGTAACATCCACTATTAACATGGGTGTTAATTCAAAAAATTAACAATGCCATTAATTCCATAACAGCTGGAATTAAATCCCAACAGTTACAAAAAAGTTTCAGGCCAAACTTTCGACCTAAGTAGTAGTTTCGGCCAGGGAGCTACACGAAACAACAGATGTTTCGTGGTGGCCATGCTACACGAATCAATAGATGTTTCGTGGTGGCCAACCAAACAAACGAAACGAATGTTACAGTGAAACCATTTGTTTCGTGGTGGTCATGCTACACGAAACAATAGATGTTTCGTGGTGGCCAACCAATCAAACAAATGTTACAGTGAAACCATTCATTTCATTTTGAGGCATTATTACAGCGAAACATTGTTATACAATTGTTTCATGGCTAAATTGGAAAATGACACCACGAGATTAGGCTCATTCTGGGATTTGATTTGCACCCCTCCTATGCGCAAGAAAGAGCCTCTATACTATACAATTCATTAAGCTTAAAAGGAGCTCTTGTATAAATAGTGGGACAAATCCTCTTCCCAAACCAATGTGGGACAAAAGCTCACTTTTTCCCTTCATTTTCCAACTCAAATGGGTCTACTTTGAGAATCAATATCTCATTCACCCATTATTCGTTTTGAGCGTACAATATATCAATATCTTCGTCTTACTACGAAGAACCCAAATCCACTTTGACCCGACCCAAATCGGAAGTGGACCCCACTGATAATTGTACCACAAAATAGCCACTTAATATGCCATTTTATGCCATTTTAAGCTATTTTTTCCAACAGTTTCTAAATATATAAATTTTATATACAAATAGAAAATTTAATATTATAAAAAATCTATATATATATATATATATATATATATATATATATATATATATATATATATTAAATATTATTAATTAATTGTATATAATATCTATATACAAATAATAGATGATATTACATAGATATTATATACAATTAATTAATAATATATATATATATATATATATATATATATATATATATATATATATATATATATTGGTCAAATTAATAATAAATTTTATTTGGTAAGCAAATGTTTAATGGAAATTAGGTAAAATGTATTAAGTGGCAATATTGCATAATTATGATATCTTCATATTTCCGGTTAGATGAGTACAAAATTCATAATTCATTATGGTAATATTACAATTCACAATATATTAATTATGGTACTATTGAAATTCATAATATATTATGGTATCTACATTCATACATCCATACATAAATACATACAAATCGGCAGAAGATGGAATAATCATTTATGGTAATATTGCAATTCATAATCGTGTAAATAATATACTCTATATTATAGTATCTCCATATTTTCGGTCAAATTAGAACATAATAATTTACTATTTGAACAGATCATTCTGCAAAACCTAAAGTTGTAAGCTTCTAACGTATTTTTACCTCTGTACTCTCATTACACCGAATAGCAATGACGGCTTCAACTCACAGCGAGATTGTTGGTTGTGGACTTCATCCTAGACTCATATGGAATCACAACCAGATTATAGTGTTCCGTGTGGTTCGTATTCCAGAGACAATAGGTTCTGAAACAATAAACTATATACAGTGTGTAGTCTATGAGGTATAGGTTTTTTTTTTACTCACATGTATATGCTGCAGTTTTGTGCTAAAACCACTATGGGAGTAGTGAATGATGCAGATTTCTCTACACATATTTGTGACAAAGAAGATTGTGATTTCTTTGAAGAGGTTATTTATTGCTCACTTATATTGTTTTACTTTTTGTATAACTTTATTGAGGTATTTGACTTTTCCTACATTTCATGATTCTCTGGATAGACATGTGCCTGAACGTTCTATTGGAAATTTGGAGTCTAACAAGGAATGTGATTCAAATAATGAGGGATCTTTTAAGAGCTCTAAAGGTTGAAAATCTACCATGAAAAAAGTTATTCAAAGATTTCTATTAGAATTATTAGGACTCTATTATTATTAGTATTCGTTACCTATTGTTACTAGTATTAGTCTTGTATTAGGTTTGCTATTCACTACTATATATTCCTGTACAGACTTATTATTTGATTCATTCAGAAATATTATATCCTCATCTGGTATCAGCAGGTTCTTTTTCTCTCTCTCTATGGCGCACCTCGGTTCTGATGGCGGTTCTGTTGGAAGTTCTGAACGGACTGTTTCTGAGGCTGCGCTTGTGGCACCCCTGCAGTCCGGGGTGTCGTTTTCTTCGGCTCATCACTTCGTTTCCATCAAATTGACATCCCGTAATTTTTTGTTTTGGCGCACTCAGCTTCTTCCGTTCCTGGATGGCCAAGGATTATTGGGTTTTGTCGATGGAACGTCTGTGTGTCCCCCGTTTACTGCGATTACGGTACCTTCTGCCGAGGAGGCTGCTGCTGCCGTGTCTTCGTCGGCCGTATCGTCCGCCGCTCGGAGTGCATGGCTTCGTCAAGATAAGGTCGTGCTCTCCTTGTTGATCTCGTCCTTGTCCGACGAGATGATGCATCTTGCCATCGGTAAAACCTCCTCTCGGCATTTGTGGGTGGCGATCGAACAGGTTCTTGGTTCGACGACTCGGGCCCGTGCTCTTCGGTTGGTGGGCGAACTGCAAGGATTGCGGCAGGGGGATGCTTCAATCCTGGATTATCTTGGGCGTGCTCAGGTGCTTATTGAGGATTTGGCACTTGCCGGCCGTCCGGTGACACTAGAAGATCAGAATATGTATATATTCCGGGGCTTGCGGTCCGAATATCGCCCTTTGGTGGCGTCGCTGACGAGGGGTGCTCCGGTGTCTTTACCCGAGTTATCCGATTTTCTTGTTTCGCAGGCCTTTATATGTGCTGATGATGGTGGTGACGTTGCTGCTGCTCCGGTCGCCATGGCGGCTCAGCGAGGTGGAGGTCGCTCGGGCGGGCAGCAGCGTGGCGGCGGCAATCGAGGCCGAGGTCGTGGCAAGGGCCGAGGCCGCGGTCGAGGTGGCGCCGGGGCTGTCCAGTGCCAGATCTGCTCCGGCGAAGGCCACTCGGCCGCTTCGTGCTATCGTCGTTATGATGGCGCTCCAGGGCCGCGGGCA